GATGTCTGGCCTTGATTGGCGTGCCATATCAATTCATAATGTTTGCTTTTAATCAATGGAATTCTAAATTTGTGTGGGGAAATCTAGCATTGAAGAAAACAGTGCAAACCTGGCAGCATATAACTGCAAAAAGACCCAATTTCGAGTCCTAGCAGAAATCCTTTAGCACAAACAACTTGAATTAAGAGCTTAACTCTGAGTAGTTCTTCACGGCTCAGATAATTATTTCCTAAAACGAAAATTTCGTCCGGGTTCTTTCTTTTCAAATTGCAGAGAACCCATGTCCTGAGGCGAGCAGTTCAAATAAAAATGATTCCAGGGCACGTTTGAATCTGATTCACTGTACTGTTTTTTAAACTGTACCCCATCGTTGTAAAGTATAACGTTCGCCATTTACTTGAAACTCCATAGCACTTTGGGAGCTGTCAGTACTCTCATTTGTTGTTACGGGTTTTCCAACATCTTGGAAGACGTAACTTGCAGTTTTTCTCCGCGGGCGTCGGATAGTGAAGCTGTTACAATTAAATTTGTAAGAGTATTTGTTCCCTACAAGATTGCAAATCTTTCGACACACCCCAGTGTATGCTCCGTGGAACTCGCGGATTCTTGCTGTGTAAATTAGAAAATTCATTGCCGAATTTGAAAGGGCCAAGGTTCGAATCCAGAAGTGCGCAGGTCCGTTGGGAGTCACAATTGAACCCCCCGTTGCAAACAAGAGGATCATCAAGGGAAACCAACAAACAGAAAAAATGCCGATCACAATGGCCAGTGTACATGCGACACGTACCTCCACCCGGGAATTGTTATCCTCAGAGCTTCGTCTAGCTTGTAACTGGCTTCTTTTCTTCTTGATTTTGAACAAAAATACCACAATAAGAAGGTACGAAACGACAATGATGACATAACTGAGACCAAACGTTCCTGTCGCTAGGAATGCTTTGGGAAACGAGTCCGGCAAAACCTCCCCTAAGATGGGAAATAACATTGGGAAAAACCAAGCCACTACTAGCATGATTTTCAACCCGTATTTTCGCATGATGTTTCCGTGGCGTAGAGGGAAGACGACCGCTATGAAACGATCCACACTGATAGCGGCCATGTGTGTGACTGAAGCGGAGCTGGAGAGAGTCGATAGGATTTTGTAGGGTGTCTGCAAGGCAGCTGCGCAATCTTGGAAGAAGATTATCTTGCTGAGGATCGCTACGAAGATGGGTTCACATACCATAGTCACGATTAAATCAGCGATCGCCAAGCTGGCAAGAAGGTAGTTGGAGCTACGACGAAGGCGAGGGTTCGTAGCGACCGCCGCGCAGACCAGCAAATTACCGAGCGTTCCCAAAAAACCCACACTGATGTTTACCGCTATCAATAAGACGCTGTGGGCTACAGGGAGGGAACAACTGTCCCGTGAGTTATTCATGATAGCAAAACTTGCAGTCGTTTTTTCCTTGATGCTCTTGGCCTTATAACAGATGTATGCAAATTGAATTGGAGATTGCGTGCTTCGTTAAATCACTGTCTTCCTCAAGTGCATTTCCGCCCACTTTAAATTAATGATGAGGTTAGTTGTGGGAAGTAGAAAAATATAGACTGAATACTGGCATGGCAGTATTAATTAATCTTACAATAATTAGGCTTGTTAGTAATGTATCATATTTTTTTTATTAAATAGCAGAACAATTTTAAATTAATTTCATAAATTTAGAAATTACTTCACTCATTTTCGAGGCTTTCGTTTTGTGCCTTTGAATAAAACTTACCACACTATTGGTGATCTTTAAGTCTCGCGTGACTTTTTATTCAGGATAAACTCAAACACGTTTTATCTCGGTAGACCTTCCAATGACATGTCGCTCCATGTAAGGTTGTTTTGATATCAACAATATTAGTCTTCTGACGACTTGTGTATTTATATCATATTCCTTATTTTGTTACCTAGAAACCACCTAAGCAAATTAAGTGTGGGCAGACTTAGTAGTAGTAGTAATAATAATAAATAATAAAATAATAATAATAATAATAATGGTAATAACAATAATAATAATAATAATAATAATAATAATTATTATTATTATTTTAGTGATGAAAAATTTTTTGAACAGCCGCTGTTTTAATGTTTAAATCATATTTTCATTTGTGTAACTTCAGGCTCAACAGCCTTAAATATATGTTAGAACAAGAGGCTAATTTCTTAGGTTTTTTTAGGAATTTTATTTTTGGAATTTTCTCAGACTTCGACGGGTCAGCCAACAAGAATTGAAACAATAATCATTTTGTTTTGGCATGTAATTGTTTACTTTGCAAAATTTTACTGCACTATATATAAAGCCATTGGAAGCACGCTTCAACGTTGATGAGAATGATCAAAGTTGCTAAAAACCATAAGAACAACCTGACCGTATATAGCACAATATTGAGTCCTGCGTAGTAACATATTTTCAAGCATTCAACATAAGTCTTACTTAAAGAAATATATTAAACCCCAGCTTAACGTTTCAGTAGCCAAAAGTGAGGCCATTAACTGACAGAACGGCTTCATGATCACTTTATCGGATGCTTGGCTGAAAAATGATTGGAAAATAGGCTGAAGGTTGAGACTTTATCGAACCGGAAACAAAATGCCTGTTCGAAAACTAAAATCCCGACGTTAAGTAAACCTAAAACTTAAGGCTGCCAAGTGAATAAACACAACAATATTGTGGTAGTCTTAGATCGGTTAAGTGTTGGAACTGTTTTTTTTTTTGCTACAGAATGGGGCTGGAAAGTTCGTTAGCCGGTAGGCCTGTTCACGTTCATTGACCTTTATTCATTACCGGACTAATCGTACGAAGGGAGCCTGGTGTCTACCGTGGACAAAGTTGATCACAATCAAGTAGTGAATTTAAGAAACTTCTGCAGCGTAAATGTTACCGTGGGCAAGTCCAATCTCTCCCCTTTTTTGATTAGAAATGGTTAAAATCGTACCTAGAAAGCCTGGTACGTGGGCAAAGTTTACAATCAAATTGCTGGTATGCACGTGACGTCCCAGCGGCGGTTGGTGGTCAAAAACAAAAGCATTTCTGTTCTCTGGGAACTAAACTCTGTTTTCATGTAAATTCTTCGAGCAAAAATTATATTGTATTGACCCCAAACATGGCCGCCTTGTCACGTGGTCGCAAACCAATAGTGAAGTTTAGAACTTTCAGCAGCGTAAATGATCAGATGCCGTGCGCAAGTCCAATCTCTTCCTCTTTTTTCTCTGATAGTCAAAATCATGCAGCACTAAACTAAAGAGGTTCTGAGATTATTCAAAGTTCACTATAACGCCATTTATCACTAATCAGTTAAAGCAGTTTTAATTTAACATAAATACAACTGCACATGAACAGATTATGTTACAAATCTCCTTGTTTATGAAAAGATCATAAAACAAAATACTGCTATTCACAGATTTTGACTATTAAGAAAATTTTCCCTCTGAAATAGTATTGGTGATCCGTATTCTGGTAGCTTTATCATGACAGCAATAATATAATATACAAGTAGGAGTATTTACACTTAAAGTCATTATATTGATTTCTGTATATTGTCTCTGTTTGTTTTCCTTTTTCCTTCTTGTCATTTAGTCACCTTCTCAGTTTAAAAATCCGGAGGACTCAAAATATCCAACAGCCACATCAAACAATAAAGATTATTTGATATATTCTACTTTAAAAAGAACTGTGAATAAATATTCCGAATAATTTGCAGTAACTATGGATAAAGCTGATATTTTTGGGTGAAAGTGTTACTTTAAAAAGTTTCAATTATTGTAATTTAAAATATTGTTTGTAATATTAAATGATACTTGGGATCAGCTTTGTAAATCTCAGTTATAGAGCCTTCTAACATTCCTCATGGCGCATAAACGGCAAACTTAATGCAGAAATGTCAGCTTGCAAATAGAAAATATATGTTGACAAGTCCTCATAAACTGGCAAAGTCTTCCGCTTTAAAAAGGCTACCATGGATTTAGAGCAAACGCAACTGCCCCCTAGAAAGACTGTAAGCTTGGAGAATGTAATCATTGTCAATTTGTCTTTGATCACGTTGTAGTTGTTAACGGGTAGGCCAATATTATAACAGAGTTATACTTAAAACTGACGAAAAGCACTAATGAGTGAGGCACCCTTAGTGGCCAATCTGTGCGTTCTAACAAAATGACCGACCTTGGCATTGGTTCCAGCATTTAAAAGGGTGTCTTCTAGGTGTAAAATCAACTGAAAGCAACTGGTGAATCAAAGCTTTAAATTTGTCTAGCTCAGCTAAAAGAAACTGAAGATATTTTAGCGAGCTCCTGAACGAGCTTTATAGCCAAGTCCGTAACAGACTTCATAGGCGAAACATTTTTCGAAAGATACCAGCATATGCATCACGGAAATCCCTGATTACTGCAGAGTAAATGAAAAAATTCATAGCTGAGTTTGAAAGAGACAAGGTCCGGAGCCACATGTGTAGAGGGCCATTTCGTTTCATGAGTGGTTTACTACTCGCAAACATCGCGGTCATCACAGGCACCCAACAAGCCGTGAAAACACCGATCACAAAGGCCAGCATGACGGCAACACGGACCTCTGTGCGGGCAGTCATATTCACAGAAACTGTTCCAGCTTTCATCTGCCTTCTTTTCTTCTTGTAGATGAGCAGAAATACAACGATCAGGGTGTATGAAAGTATGATAACAAAATAACAAAACGCGAATGTTCCCATGGCTGTGAAGCCTTGGGGAAAGGAAGGTGGAAGGACAAAAATCAAAATGGGAATTGAAATTGGGAATGCCCATGATATTATCAACAAAATTCTTACTCCGCACTTGTTCATTAAGTGTTCGTGGCGTATGGGGAAGACGACGGCGATTAGACGATCAAAACTGATGGCGGCCAAATGAAATACTGAAGCCGAGCAAGAAAGAGTAGATAAAATGGTGTACGGAATCTCCAAACTTGTTGCGCACTCGTTAAAAAATGTTCTCTTGAGGAGACTTTCCAGATACAGAGGTTCACATACCATGGTGACAATCAAATCAGCGATTGCTAAGCTGAAAAGAAGATAGTACGAGCTTCGTCGAAGACGAGGACTTATGACAATTGCCATACAAACCAGTAAGTTACCAAGTAAACCTAGTACGCTAACGATGGCGTTGATGGTAATTAGTCCAATGCCATGATTTCGGGGAAGAAAACAATTATGTGCGTTTTCCAATGAAAAATTCATGCCTTAGTTTTGCTTAGCGTAGGCGGCTTGGCCCTTTTAACATGGAAAGATCACGGTTGCAGTTCCATCTTCCTCCTTCACCACAAAATTACAAATCGAATATAGGTGATCAGAATTGTTTTGCCTCCAATGTTCAAATATCATCTCTCGGCCTAAACCCCAAACAATGTACCAATATGAGCTTCAATGACGTTAGCAAGACAAATGCATTCTGAAACTCTTTAACTCCAACTACAACATTTAAAGCCAAGATTAACATCAGCAAACAAATATCGCATACTCAGACTTGTGACTTGTAAGTCATTAGCATCCAATGATTTCAAGGTGTATGGGGCATAATTCACACAGTATTTTGACCTTCCGGTGTCTTCGAATGAGTCATAGACTGTTTATAGTCCCCTATTTTTAGGTAATATCTTCGTGATCGAGTGATTACTGTAACAAGCGGCTATCTTGTTTTCAAATCTACCCAGAGGTAGCGCACCGGGGTCTTGATTGGGTTGGGGGGAGAAATTCAAAAAATAGTTTCTCTTGGGCCTTGGACCACCTGCCACATCTCAGACCAAAATATCCTTATATAATTAATATCTATAATATTTTCGTGCATTTAAAATGAGCTAATTTGAGTAAACAGAAGAATTTGGCATTTCATAGTTGTACCCCATTGCATGGGTCATCTCAGATCAAAATATGCACAAATGGAACCCAATCAAAACAACCTACAATCTTTGGAAGCTGAAGGCGTGCTTCCGGCCAAAACGCGTCATTTTCTTATCCTTGATTTGGTAGGTGGGGGGTCTTGATTTTCCGTTTAATTTGTCCAAAATGTTAGAGAATATTAGAGAAATAGGGCCCCATGTAGGTACATATATCTGTTTAACATATATAAGGTAGTAATTAAGGAGGAGGAGGGTAGATTCTCCTCCCTATGCATTTGAAACAAAATACCCTTTTTAATTATTTCTCTAACTCGACGTGTAGGATAGCACGTACAGTGATTGCGTATGCAGGGGCCAAAACAGCTATATTACCATTGTTTCAAAGTAACTGGTTATTTGCTTACTGTTGTGCTTACCATTAACTATTTTTGCCACATCAAAATTATAGCATTTTTACTGAGGGCTAAAAAATTCTGAATTTGATAAAAGGTTTTGTAAACAGTTATGAAAAATAGCATTTGACTTTGTTATGATATAACGACACTATTTGTATGCTAATGTTGTCGTTTTTGTGATAGGCTGCTTCTATTTCCTCGTTACGGGCTGTGGTAGGTGCTCCCGCCTTTCCTTTACCGGGGCGAATCTCTGCCTTGACTTAATAAACGATTATGAATGTGGCCAAATAGAAGGAAGTGTGACGTCATGTTACTATGGAAAAAATTTCTTGATCTGAAAAATGTTTCTAAACAGAGACTCGCTGTCAACTTTTTTTTCTTATTTTTCTTTCCGCAATATATATTTGCAGGGCCACAGTTTGTTGACGTCCAGAAATTTTGCTACCGTGGCAACGTGACGTAACGGCTTCTCCCCTCTATTCGTCCCATTTGGATATTCTTTTATTTCTGTCCCAGCAGGTTTACTTTCAAAACTCGCTCAACACAACAATCTTTCAAAAAAGACTAGAATGGGGGAAAAGGAAAAGGGTTTCCAATCCCGTCATCCCGAGCTAACATTTTTCCTCAATCCCGTAATCCTATGGATATTTTTGGAGTCCCGGGGGGGTACTCCTGGGAATTATTGTGGGGGTGTTCTGCCCGGTTCTCCAAATCCTGACCCTCTTTCAGGCCAAAAAATGTCATTTTCCATACCCGTTTTCAGACCTGGCCTTTAGGCAGAAATTATGTTATCATTACTTAGATCAGAACGCCAACAAAAAAATTCTTCAAAGGCATTTCGAATTCGCATATTTCTATTTCGTTCTTATTCATTTGGAATTGAAACAGTAAATATGTTCATACACACCCGCAGTTCCCTCGAAAACCACACCCGATTCCAAACAAAATGGACAAAGTGTATATTACCAGTTTTCAGACCAAAAAGGCCCAAAAACCATACCCTTTGGGGCGGTACATACCTATTTGGATCATATAAGGAAGTACCCCCCGGGCGGAATCCCACCTCCCGTACACACTTTCAATCCCGAATCTCGCTCCCATTTTGTTTTGAAATCCCGAATTCCAGCCTTCAAATGAGAAAAATCCCGCTGGATCCCGAAAAACCTACTAAGGACCCTCAAGGAACAAGGGGCCTTGAAACGGATATTTTCGTGAACACTCGTCAGAGTGGGTAAGATCGTGTTGTCCTGTGGGTAATCAACCGTATTTAAATCACGCTATTCACCAAAAGCAACCTGGCACACAGGGTCCAGAGGAGTTTCGTGTGAATAAATAAATTACTTATTTAAAGTCTCACCTTGAAAAATGTCTATACTTGTCGCTTAGCACGATTAATTAGCCCAATGGGATCTTTATGAATCTACTGTAAACGATTTCTTCGTTTCTTATCTGCCCCAGATAACCTTTGTTGTTCGCCATTTTGAAAATCAATAACCGCAAGCCAATAACAGCACGTCGCCCGAAGGGCTACCGAGGCACGAAGTCCGTATTTTATACCGTAAGCCGATCTTGCGAGCCCTCAGTCTCTTGGTTTGCGGTATATAGAATGTCTAACGAAACTGTAACGCGATCACAATAACCCATTTTTTCAGAGGTTTTCGACGGGTTTTGATGATCTAACGACAAACACGTCTCCTCTGGACCCTGTGCCTGGTGCAGCGATATGATGTGGGAATCAATGAAAACCAATTTACAGTGCGTGATTTTTTTTTCAATGACCGTTTCCATAGTCCAACCTTACTATTAATGAAACGGTAAAATCAGTTGTTATTCTTCAGTAATTGAATAAATTCACATTACAAGAAAGCGAATCAATAACAGTTAAGGAGTCAAGAAAGCATGCATCAAGCACGAGTTAACTTAGACTCATGAATGTAAGTCCAAAACAAACTCTAAATTCTACAAGCGACACATCTTTTGAAAGATACTTGCGTATGCCTCTTTGAAGGCACGCATTCTTGCAGAGTAAATCAGAAAATTCATAGCTGAGTTTGACAGAGCCAAGGTCCAGAGCCACATGTGTAAAGGGCTGTTTGGCTTCATACCTATGACAAACCTCATAGTCTTTACTGGAACCCAACAAACTGTAAAAACGCCGGTTGCAATAGCTAAAGTGCAAGCAATACGGACCTCTCTGCGCGAAGTAAACTTTACGGAAAGCGTTGTGGCTCTTAGGTCCTTTCTTTTCCTCTTGTACCTGAGCAGAAATACTACGATCATGAAGTATGAAAAGATGATGACGAAGTAGCTCAAGGAAAACGATGC